CCCACCCACCCACCCACCCACTCTGCAAAGAAAATGCCTTCAAATGGATTTCCGTCTTCTCATCAGCCTGTGGTTCTCTGTAAAGCTGTGCAATCCAGGGGAGATAGAACTGACCGGGGATGGGAATAGGCTGTTCTTTAATGTGCTTGGTGAGATCTCCTCAATCTTGTAGGAGATGGAGTGAAAGTACTGAAGGTTCAGCTTGGAACTGAAGGAATTTTGGTGGGAAACGACCCGGCTGGTGTATTCATGGGACCTGTAACACATGCAGGAACAATCAGACTGAAGATCCGTGACCTCAGCCTTGTACCGTGGACGGCCATGCTGAGAATCCTCTTGAATGTGGACCACCATGCTGCTCCGGTTTCCTGCCAGGGAGGCCCGCTCCTCGGCCTCCCGTCTCTCTTCCTCAATGTTCATGAACAACCTGAGAACGACCAGATTGAGAAATGCCCCAATGACAGTTAATCCCACCAGGATGTACATAAAGCTAAAGGCCACGTAGAGCGGCTTCTTCTGAAGGGCTCCTTTCGTTTGAAGGGCCACGTAGTCCCCAAACCCGATTGTAGTCAATGTGATAAAACAGTAATAGAAGGCCTGGAAAAAGGTCCACTCCTCACAATGAGAAAAGGCCGCTGCTCCAATGCAGAGGGTGCCAATGCAGGAGAAGAAGCCGACAGCCACCATGTTTTCCATGGAGACCTCTGTGCTTCTCATCCGGCAACATTTTTTCATCCGTTGCAAGAGGTACTTGACAAAGGTGTTCATGCGTTCGCCAAGGCTCTGGAACATGACAAGGGTGAGTGGAATGCCCAGGGCGGCGTAGCACATGCAGAATGCCTTCCCAGCATTTGTCCCAGGGGCGGCATGCCCGTAACCTGGAGAAGCAAAAGGACGACATGGATAAGTGATGGAGGAGAGAGGCAGTTTTGATTGCAACTAAGGGGCAGCCAGAAGAATGAAATGACTAGAGCCCTTATGACATGAAGAACATTTACAATGTTTGGGACTTTTGGGGGGGGGGGCGGGAGGAGAAAGGCACAGCCTGGAGGAAAGAGAGAGGGAGATGGTCCAGTCTCTTGGTCATAATAATGAACCTCAGGGTCATGTGCCAAAGCTTAATGGTGGGATTTACAATCACCCACCTTTGTAACAATTTGCCCACACCTTTGGTAGCCAGAGCAGGGTAAACTTCATGGGGGAGAAGGCTATCAAGGCTACCTGTCATGGTTTATGGGTTCAGAAGGACTTCTGGTATCAGAGTCAGGGGTTGGATTCACACCACACACAGTTGTTGTGTTCACCTAATACAAGGCCAAGTTGTACAAGATTCTGAAACCCATTTCTGCAGCCACAAAAAACTTCTCTGACCACCCATCCTAAGCCTGTTGGCAAAACTTTGAAAAATGGTGAAGCGGTATTCCTTTGTACTCAGGTTTATATTACTGATTTAAGCTTTGAACAAACCCTTAATGAGCCCCTGAAAAGCAGGGAAAACATTGTAAATTATTTTATGATTCATCTCCGCTCCCTGCCATGGGTATCCATGGAAGGGGCAAGTGTCATAATGTGATTCATAATGTCAACACACAAATGACACAAATTACGTCATCTGTATCCTTGGTGCAATGACACTGTGGCACAGGTGATGTCATTGTGGCTACTACTGGATACCATACAGGTGCACTGTAGTCCTCAGAACTGGAAAAAAATACAGTCCAAAATACAGTTCCCATCCTGGCCATGAGACGCTCTCTAGCCTTGAATTGATTGTCAGGGCCACACATTCCAAGTGACACCTTCTTTAAAGGACCAAAGTTCCTTATTACCTGGAAATTAACCTTTTACAAATCATGAATTATCTCCAGGCACTGTATCCTGGGGCCGGCTTCAACAACATCAAATTTGCCCAAATTAATTTCCTATATGGAGCATTTTTAGAGAGAAGGGTTGAGCTCATGTGCTGCCTGAAATGGTTCCACTTCAGAAAAATGCGGACTGTATATATTTTTTTCATCCTGTAATCCAGAATTAGAGTCACTGGGAATCATGTGGCATATACATTTTAATAATAATTATAATAATAATAATAATAATAATAATAATAATTTTTAAAGAATGCATGAACAACAGTTGAAATGCAACCCCTCCCCCCGCAAAAAATATGACCACATTATTACAATTCCAAATGTAATGCCCCAGTATCTAAGTTCAGTTGAAAAGGCACACATTCTCCTCAAAAATACATCTTGCCATCATTCTTGTACAGATGAAGAGTGTGGGGAATTTAAATCAGAAATTCCCAGTTTGGAAAATCAAAGCAGCAGGCAGCCCCCAAAACCTAGAATATAGCCCCAAGTGTCTTCCAAATATTGTTATTAAATTATAATTGTTAATGTGACATCAGGGAAAATTATTGAAAACCTGGACGGAGATTAATCCGATTACCTATATTTAATGTAATTTTACTGTAATTTGCATGCAAATGAAATCAATTTCGTTTTCTTCTTCTGCTCTCTACTTTATGGAATGTGATCGTCTATTGCTGCATTTGAAGAGCAAGCCACAGCTCAGGAAAAATAAATCATTTTTTTTAGGGGGAAAAAAAAGTTTTTTTGAAAATCTGTATATACTCTTCTGGAAATAAAATCACCAAAAAAGTACACCTGGCACATTTAAAGTCACCCTATCAATTGCCCCAGAATCTCAGATAATAATAATAATGGTGGTGGTGGTGGTGGTGATATGGCCCATGGAAGAAGTGTACTTTCAAGTTTTTTATCTGGTTTTGGATCTTTACTGCAGTGTCCAGATCAAACACCAGTGCTTTTTGCTCTTATTGATTCAATCAGTTGGTCTATAACAGTGTTTCTAAACTCTGGCAGCTTGAAGATGTATGGACCTCAACTCCCAGAATTCTGAGAGTTGAAGCTCATACATCTTCAAGCTGCCAAGATTGAGGAACATTGGTCTATAAGAATAATTGCTGAAATTCTAGAGAATTCAGGGGTGCTGTGGATATTAATTCAGGATTGTTGTCAAACTTATTTTGTTTTCCAATCTCAGCCTGGAAACCCAAGGAAGGAAGCGTGCAAAAAATCAGTTTTTGGGGAGCCCTGTCTCTGTCTCTCATAACAGCCAGTATGATGCAGTGGTTAAGGTACAGGAGATCCAGGTTCTAGTCCTCCCTGGTGTGTGGAAGCCAGCTAGATGATTTTGGGCCAGCCCCTCACTCTCAGTGCAAGAGTTAAAGAGATATAGGGAAGACTCAGGTTCTACTTCTCTCTCAGTTATGGAAACTCCTTGGAGGGACTTGGGCCAGTCACTCTCTCTCAACTCTTGACTGGGAAGCTGAAAAATATCTGTTGACCAACCCACATTAAACTAGCATGGGAGATTATGGTCTATAAACTTCTGTGAAGAGGCCTTCAACCTTCAGTGGAGTGATTTGGGCTGATAACAATTTTATTTATATAAACTATTTTTTTTTTATTTCCATAGTGAATATTGTGAATATTCTGCTAGGATGTAGAATTTGACTCTCAAAGATGGTTTCCTGGAGATTTCCATTAGTTTCTGAGGCAAAAACAGCTTACGGTATCATAGAATCACCCTTCCTAAAGTCTGTTGCTTTCTAGTTGCCTTTATACAACTCCCATAATTTCCAAGCAGTGTGGGCTTTAGAACTAGTCTGGGGCAAAGTGGTGTATGTACACCAAAGCTGGCGGCAGCCTTAGATGGCAGATAACAAAAGAATACAGTAATTGCCCCAAAACATAAAATGTACAGTTCCAGTATAATGCAAGGAAATGTATGCCACAAATGAAGGGGGGGGGGAACCCCTGTGTTTCTTTGGGGAGGGAAGGCAGGAAGATCTGATCAAAATATATCAGGAATCATCTCAAGATGCTCAAACCTTGCATTCCTTCACTCCATTAGGCTATGAAGGCCTAAAGCTGTGAGCTACGGTCTGAAAGATGGGCAGTGGCAGTCTTACCTTAACTTGACCCATCATCTTTACACTTGGCAACCAGTCATGGCCCAGGCATTGGTTGCATTCCATTTTGCCCCCCCCCTCCCCCTGGTAGTTCTGTTGCCCAACGGTGACCCAGAAAACCCCATGCCACGTTACCATTTCTCTTCCTTCAGTATGCTGAATCTCTCTATATGAGACTTGGGCAGTATGTATCTGTGTGAGAGAATGAGAGAAAGAGGCTATGTGTATGAGAGAATTTGGGGTTGATTTTTTGCTTTTTGTTTCATTTTGTTTGATTAGTGAAATCACATACTTTTTCATGTTATTTGGACCTGGTAATCAAAGGAGAACTGAAGGGGATCACCACAGCTACGTTTCTGCGTGTTAAAACTAAACAGCTTCATAATTTCAATCATTAAAAACAATAATATTACAATGTCATTCATTTAATTTTCTTCTCCTCACTGTGTTATCTTACTTATTTGGCTCTTTTTTACAATGTCAATGTAAATTGTAATTTTTTACAATTACAATCTCATTCATTTAATTTTCTTCTCCTCACTGTGTTATCTTACCTATTTGGCTCTTCCTTCTTTCACAGTCCAGCTGTCCCCTCCCAACATGCTGTTCAAAAGCTGGTAAGACCCTCCACCCAATGAATATCTCAAAGACTGGTGAGACCCTTGGACCAAGGCCCCCCAGTCCAATGAAAATTGGGCACCCCTGTGCCCTTGAATCTCAGTGTAGTGAGATAAAGTCTTCTCCATTCCATCTTGCTTGTGAGTTTCCAAAAGGCAGTGGAAGATGCTGGATTAGAAAGGACTCTTATCTGATCCAGGGCAGCTATTCTTCTCTTCTCCCATTAGGAGGTATCATTTTCATCATCGAAAGCAAGGGCAGCAAAATCCAGAATGCTAGGGTTGCTTCTCATTCTGGTCCAATTTCACATTTTCTGTTGAGATGGTGTGGCTTTGGTAGTATATCCCAATTGTTTTCCTCCTGTGCTCCACTGTGGAAGGGCAGTAGCTCAATAGAAAAGCACCAGCATTGCATGAACATGGCCTTGGCTTCAACCAACAGCATCTCTAGACAGAGCCAGAGAAGCTACTCTGAGATCCACTAGCTATCTTCATTTGTCGCAGCAAAACAGACAGTCTAATGGCACCCTATGAAAAACTGGGCAATAATAAATGCATTAGAGTGCGAGGTGCCGCGAGACACTTTGTTGTTTCTGTCAGTTATTAGGCAACACTGAGCCAGACAGACTGATGGTCTGATCTGGTAGAAAGCAAATCAATTCAGGCGTTTCAACTCTTTCAACAGCAACATTTTTCGTTCCTAAGAAGCTTGGCAAAAGCAGAGCTCGGGTGCAACCTTAAAGATATCCACCAAGTGTCTCCCATTGCCTCCCACTGGACTTAGCTGTCCTGAGTTTGTGCTGTTAAAAGTTTGCGAGAGGTATCTGATAATCGGTGACAGCTAAAACAGGAGTTTTTTGTGGTACCTTGAAGCCTGACATATTTAATGAATTTAACTTAATTTGAACAACGAAAACAAAAGTAAAGTCAAAAGCAGCATAGAAGGAGCAGAACTTTCACAGTGAGCCAAAAAGAAAAGCACAGTGATATCAATAGAAGAGATTATCTGTAGCTCAGGGTTGAATTGTGGAGTTCTTGGTGCTCTCTGACCTTGGTTGTTGGCTTGTAGATGTTTCATTACCCAACTAGGGAACATCATCAGTGCACAGTGATATATATGACAAAGATTAGCTCTAAGGATCAACATACTTCCAACAGCGTCCTGGTGCCCACCAAGTTCCTTGCCTCATCTGACTTCATAAAGATTCCTTTAACTAAATTATTGAATAGGA